TGTGCGCAGGGCCGGGGCGGCCGGAGAGAGAGGGGCTGCCTCCCGGCTCCCTCGTCCTGCCCCGCGGTGGCAGAGTTAAGCGTGTAAAAAAGCTTTTATTATGGCTTTAATTACATTTTCTTACATGGCGGTAGTAAAGGTTACAGTTAACAGTTGGTTTTTTTTTTTTTTTTTGGTTGGGTTTTTTTTTTATTTTTTAATAACGTGAGGTTCATGTAAGTTTATAGCAGTTCATATGCAAACCACCTCTCAGTACAGTTAGCTTCCAAACAGTATTTAGCTTGCAATGGAATACCTAAATGTGAAACACACTTAAAACTGAAATATATGCTAGAATACTTTGAGAACGCCAGCTTTTACTAAGTTACTTTTATTAACCTAAGGAGTTTACCAGAACAAAGGATGTGTCAAGCTGAATAGGTAAGAGATTTTATGTTTTTACAGCAATATATATACAATGTCTATTTATTCTTTGTTTCTTTGAAAGTATATGTAAGTCTCTGTCACTTTATTTGATAAACTATAGCTAGATCCTATCTATGGCTTCACAAAAGTGAAGAGAATTAAGCATCTTTCATCTTAAATGTGTATTTATGAATTATATGAACTGTGTTCATATTTAACTAGGGTAATTTGGCACTACTAATACACTTTTATATTAGTGAATACACATATTTTACTTCTACAGTTACTGGTGGTTAACATTGTATAATTTACAACATTTTCATAACGGGGTTTAGTGAAGACTGCGTCATAAGGAAAAGATGATAATGATCTGGGTTTGACAAGCTTTTCTTCTAATGCTGGAATACAGCTAGCTGAGATTACAAATTGAGCCTGTATTTCATGATTTTGGTGTTAACTTATACTGTAATGAGAAAGTGAAAGATGTATCCTGACAAATTTCTAGATGTATACTGTTTTATCTAGAACTTCTGTCTCAAAAATATAGAGCCACAGATGCCATATGTGAGTAGTGAAATGAAATACTACTATTTTCTTTTTGCAGTTTGCAAGGGAGATATTTCAGATCTTCTAGACTACAAGTCAGTAAACTTTGCTTACGCAGCTGGCTCCATTCATTCTCTCAAGCCAATCACTTCCCCTGTGGTGGCTGATAAGAGTTTAACAGCTTGAGAAGGTGGAGTGTCAGCATCCTTAGTACTAAACACGTTCCCAGGCATATTAGTAGCCTCTGTCCAACACTCATGCTGGAAGCTATTTGGAAAAGGAGAAACAGAAATCGGGGAAGGGAAACCATGCATCACCATCCTGGCTGGAACGTACAGGAGACTTCATGCTGTTTTCATCATGTGGATTCACTAGAGAAATGACCACCTTTGATCAGCCAAGCAAAACCAAAAACTTCTTTATTTGCTGCCTGTGCCCCCCGCGGGTGCTGAGGCTCTGGACTTGCAGGCGCCCAAGGACAAGGAGGAATCTGCTCGTGGGCACCGCCTGCGTGATCTACCTGGGATTCCTCGTCAGTCAAGTGGGTCATGTTTCACCCCAGCACAAAGGAGGACACCAAAAGATCAGTTCCAGAAGTCTCCAAGATGTAGCCCAAACTCCTTTTTTGGGCATCCCACTGGATGGCACCCTGTCACCACCCAACTTCCAGGAACCCCAGCTTGGTAACAATGGGACCTTGCTGCCACCCAACGTGGTTTATATCACCCTGCGGTCCAAGCGCAGCAAGCCTGCCAATATCAGAGGCACGGTGAAGCCAAAGCGCAGGAAGAAACATGCAACTCCTTTGTCCTATGGGCAGCACTTTCCAAAAGTCACTTTTATGGGCCGGGAAGAGGCCTTTGCCCAACAGCCAGGGAGGGCCACGCATGCCACGGGCGCAATGGGAGCAGTTCTGGAGGTGAGAAAGCACCAGCTGGATGAACACAGGCATAAAGAAATGGCAATCAGGGAGAGGGGTCACCCGAGACCAGGGGGGATTTCTGGAGCTATAAAGGCACAGCCCCAGCCTGAGGAAAGCAATATCAGGATTTACAGCGAGAGCTCTCCCTCTTGGCTGAGCAAAGAAGACATCCTGAACATGCGCATGCTGGCAGATTCTCGGATAGAGAGCATCCAAGAAGTACCTTCTCGTAAAGCAGTCCTGGTAGTGTTTGCGAGAGGTCCCAGCACCACAGGAACTGCTTGTGATCGGGGACACTGTGGCATCGTCAAAAGACCCCTCGACATGAGCGAGGTGTTTGCCTTTCATTTGGACAGGATCTTGGGGCTAAACAGGAGCTTACCTTCTGTAAGCAGGAGATCGGAGTTCTTCCAAGGTAACACATTCCTATGGTTTTCAGCTTGCAGGTGGGGTGCTGGGGTTTCCTTCCCCCTCCTGCATTCACTGTGAGGCAGCAGCCACCACCTTTAACTCCTGCGAGCCTGAGAACTAACCCCATCATTGCAGGGTAATAAAGCTGGTGTCTCTGAGTAACGCCTGCACTGCAATTATCCTGCTCAAAGGACGGAGCACCCCAAAGTTCAGATCAAATACCATTGAGCTGCTCAGGGCAGTAACAGTTTCCCTTCCACGAGTCTGGAATGAGAAAAAAGAGAGGGAGTCATCCGTAGATTGCATGACGTTGTGCAGACTGCCTGAAGTGAAACTGGTGAAAAAAAATGCAGAATACCCTGGGATTCAATGGGTATTTCTGATTTCTTTTTAAAGTTTTCTCATCTTTTAGAACTGATTTTAATAAACTGTTGTTGAAAACGAGCACAAGGATTAATCTCTCAAACAGGTGGTAGGAAAGGGGTTTTGTATTTAGTCAGATAACTTACTCAGAGAGCTAGGGGACCTTCCTGCAGAAGCTTGATGTTACTTTCTCGGTAGTAATACCTCTGGGAACTGAAAAATTAATTAAAGAGTACTTCCCTCTCCCCAGCAAGTTAAAAACCCCAAAATGCATTTCAGTGAATCCTGCTGTACATTACACACATCTATATATTATACAGACAAAAATATACATAGTAAATATCTCAATATGCCTGTTACATGATTGGTATGAAGTTTTCAATTAATAATTTGATTTTTAACCATTAGTGAAATTAAAGGTAGATTCCAGCCACGTAATGTGACTTATAGGTCTACTTGTAACATAGCTATCTTGTTAAATGTCTCCAGCCTAACTGCTATTTTTGTACAGTCACAATTCACGATCCAAATGGACTACATTGCATTTTAATGAATCATTGCTAAAGTGGCTAGCTATGTTTTTGCTGTTTATTTCTTGCTGCTGAAATTAGTTTATACCAAATACTTTTATACCAGTCTGTGTTTCTCAAAAAAAAAAAAGCCAAACCCCACCAAACACTAATGCAAGAATGACTTTCTAAAGTTTGACAGCAGGAAGACAACCCAGTGACCTCCAGTTTTTTCCTGCTTTGTAACAAACCTTCCCTTTGGCAGCCTGTGCAACAATGTGAATGAATCTCTAGGAACAACAGTTTGGAGGCTTCTGAATATTCTTCATACTTGCAGAGCATGGAAGATACATTATGCCTAGTTTATTTTTAGGAACAAGATTTATTGCTATAGAGTTGTCATAAGGCATTAAGGTGGTTCGGTTGGAGGAACTGCACGCAGTGTGGCTGTGGAGATGACAGGCTGCAAGCCTCTGAAGACTGCTATTAGGCTAATTGTGCATTGTGTTGCTCACTGTCTGTCACCTTACAGTATATTTTGGACTGTCTGGGACAGAGAGTGTCATTCTGCCCTCTTTAATTTTCTTTTCCTCATAACTGGCTATGTTCCTACAGCAAGAAGAGTGTTGCTAGGTGATGAGAAGAGAAATAACATTATTTTGGTCTCACTTCATTTTTTCCAGCTAAAGAGTGAACAGAGCATTTGGAACAGTTACTGTACCTTGTCTCTCTCCATTTCTTTAGCCTGGAAATTTGCTGGAGCTCAAATGTCTAATACCTACTTGAGATCATTACTATTTACATACTTGTGTTTGGCATAATCTGGAAAACATCTGTGTTGAGAGAATGAGCAAAAACATATTCTTAAAAATAATATGAACAATTAATTTCATATTTCTATATTAATTATATTAATTTCTCATTTCTGTAACCCATATGCATTTAAGTTAAGATTAGGTGAGTACTATAAAGTTTTTTTTACACAGTGGCTTGTATAAGTCATGGTTATTCATATGGGAAAGCAAGCAATGCAGGATTAGAGACTATGCATGTGTGTATGAATGTACACAGTTTCTGGGCTGACATCTCTCTCTCCACAGCACATCCCTTTAGCTTGCCTCAGTTGTGATGTGATCTAACAAGACGTGTTTGATGTAGCATTAAAATCTTAAAAAATGGGCTTTTCAAAACTGTCATTCATTTTGTCAAAAGCAGTTTCAAAGAACTGCTTAGTAAATCCCTGTACAGGTTACGGTTCCCCTATTCCCACAAATCCCCCACTGATTATTTTTCTTTTTTTTAAAGTCTAGCAAAATACTGTTTGCAGCTCCCCTGTCTGCTGCTCTTGCCTTCCCAAGTTAATTGTAAACCCGTTTAAGACTTAACTGCATTTGTTTATAGTTTATATTGTTTTTCCATCACGGATGGAAAAAATCAGGTAAGATAACTCTTCCTCTCATATTCTTGCAATTAATTAGCCAAATGTAAAAAGCCTGGGGAGTACAGGTGGGCAAAGCCATTTTGAGTTCAGTATTACAGTCTAAAAGAACATGATTCTGGGCACATGCAAGCGGTGATTCATTACTCCCATCACTACCTACAAGGTATGAAAAATGTTGAGAGCTCCAACACGCCTATAAACACCTGTAAAACATGAAATAATCACAAAAGTGTGTCGATTGTGGGAAAAAAATGGAGGCTCACCCCTGTGTGTATGAGTTTTGGGATGGTCACATTAATACCACAGGGCTGAGAATGTTCATGATTTGATCACCCTAACTTGAGGAACAGAAAAGACATAAGTTTCCTTGCTTGGTGTCACAGCCCCACCTTAATCAATTTGCATGGAAGCCAAGTAAAATGACTGCACATCTTGCCTCTAGCTCAGCAACAGCATTTGCAGGACAGGATGATGCCAGTGTTTGTTAGGGCCTTGAGCTACCACGGGGTAACATGGGCTGGAGCAGGCTTGCTCCTGTGTTGCAGCTGACAGCTGTAGGGACAGGACTCTGGCTCCTTAGATCATAGCAACAAGGCTGAGCTCTTTATTCAGCTTTTAGTTCAAAATAAGTAGCCATTGCTATGCAGTTTTGTTGCGTCACTTGCCAAGGGCCTGAATTACTGCATGCTGACAATCACCTCTCTTCCCCCTGTTTTTTCTGATATCTTCAGTTTGGCTAAATATGTTTTATCCTGTACAGAGATGCATAAGTACAGTTGTACTCAATTCAGTTAGGCTCTTTTAGCTAAAGATTGAACCCACTATTTGCCCAGAATCACTTTTTCCCCCTAAAACATGCAAGAAACTCTTCCTTTGAATAACACCTTTCATGGTTGGTTTAGTGCAAATAGATGAATGACATGTGATAGATACGCTGCTTGTACTTGTCATTTTGCTTTACTGCCCTCTACATGATGATAAATGGAGCCATAGGTTTTTCCATGTTATACCCTGCACTATCAACCTGCCCTTGACATCACACTAAAAGTTATACAAAAGTAGGCAGAGATATTATGAATCACTGATGTCAAGGCAGAGAATAAGAAAAGCCTAATGCTGCCTTATGCATACAGACTTCTCTAAAATGATTCAATTTCTCCCCTGTTTTGTCTAAAAACCCAAACAACTTGCACCATAGTGTTGTACCTCTCAGGGGGTACCACAGGGCAGAGTTCCAATATTACGTTGGGTAGAAAAGTTCATGGATAAGCAATAATGCAGTCCATAGTCTAGAGAGCAACTAATGCACATTTCATGCATTCCTTCATTCTGACATCCATATGAGCACAGGACAGGAACATCCATTGCAAGTAAGGTACAGGGGGAAGAAAGAAAAATATGTGGCCTAATTTCTCTCTGCTTTTGGCATCTGTACCTTATATTTTCCCTCAGAACGTAATGTAAAACTCTAAAATTCAACTAGTGCTCTGCATGTCAGTCCTTCTCATCTTTCCACACTGAATTACCCTCTCCTGCTAATATGTGGGCAAGTAAACTGCTTTTTTTCAAATGTGACAGGGGTAAGCTGTACTGCTTTACAGTGAACAATGAGACCTTTGAGAAAGGGCTTTAACTACTTCATGAAAGATTTGCTCTTTTTAGTGATGGTCTCATGGGCACGTTGGGAAATTCTTTCGAGGAAGACAGAAAAAAAAATACTGTAGGTACAAGTTTGAGCACAAGATGGAAAAGTAACATTTGCAAGAGTATCTTTGTGTTTAAGAAGCATACAGACTATTTTTGAAGTAATGTGGAGTGTGGTTATCTAAGATGATAGCTATGTTGAAGAAGCCATGCAGTGATACATCACTTAACTACCTCTGAAGCTGTTTGAATACCTTGAGGTAGTCTAGTCTCAGCAGTCTAAGCTTTCATCTGTGTTAGCTTATTCAGTTTAGGATATCCACAGCCAGTAGCTCCTAAGGGCCCAAGAAATTTTTAGAGATATTTTGAAGTTTAAAATGCATATGAATTATTAGGAAGCTGGTTCCACCATGAGTTTTGAAAAAAATCTTTCCCATAAAATTTTTCAGATCATTTTTAGGTAGTTAAGTAGATCTATAGATCTAAAAAACAGCAGAGGAAAATGCATTGAAGTCAATCACCTTTGGGCTAGATTCAGTGCAAAGCAGCTGCAGCAACAGAAAAGCAGTAGCCCTTTGTGTTAACATATAAAGTTGATAAGGAAAGCAGCACATGCAGAAGACACTGGACTTATTTTTCAGTGTGCTCAGCCTCCTCAGGTTTGGCTGTATCAAACTGGAAGCTCTGGTTCTTAGCCAGGCCTTACTTTGCACCATTCAGTTCGCTTCAGCCACATCCTCGTGAGGTTTGAATCAGAAGAGCTCCACTGATTTCACCGGGGTCTTGCCAATTCACGCAGCAATGAATCAGATCCCCTTATCTGCTTTAATTCAGCATCTTCATGTTTTTCCTGCAAATGTCAAAAATTTGAGTCACTGCTCTTTACTGAAGCTGCTGTTTCATATTCCTGTAATTCAATTTATATTACAGCGTTGAAAGATTTTATTTTGGCTCATCTTTTCTGCTCCTATTTCCTATGAAATGTGAACATTTCCTGTATTTAGCCTTGGTCTTTTAAAAATGTTTGTGTGTCTTAATGGAAACTGGCAGGATGCTACTCATATTTTTCAAGTATTTATATTTCTATTGTTTATCATGTCCCTTTTGGATAGACAGGAGATGTTTGTTTTTGTTAGAAGACTGTTTATGTATTTAGTTTGTGGAAGAATTCACGAATAGTTACATAAGTTAACACTTACATAATTGGAGATATGAAAATAATAGATCAGACTTGGTCTTGAAGAAAACTGTCCTTTTTTGTGACAATTCCCAGTGCATATATAGACTTTCTCCAACTGGCTTGGAAAAGAAGCTCAGCTGATAACTGACCTGACTTGGCTAAAGTCATCTACAATGTAGGTGATAGAGCTAGAGCAAGAGAGATGGGGAAATGACTAGAATTTCCCAAATTAATTTCCTAAATACTTACTCAGGCACCTCAGTAGAGGAGAAGCCTGATTTTCAGGAATGTTTTCAGGAGCATGCTTTCCAGGAGTGCTTTTTTTCAGCTGATGAAAGAGTGTGGAGCTAATAAAGGTATTATTGATGCCAGTGAAAGGAAATTGATGTTCCTGATCATACAATAGTTTAGGTTGCAAAGCCCTTTGAGATCATCAAGTCCAACTGTTAACTAGCACTTTCTGTGTTCCTAAGGAAACATTGGGCAACTGGGAGAGAAGTTAAATAGGTGGTGGAGCTGCATGTTGGGTTGACTTGAGAAGGACTACCTTGTATGTGCAAGCCAAGGCAGAGAGAAGATCGAATACATGCTGGTTTTGGAGAGGAGTTCGTTCTCTTGAGCTTGATTGTATGTGGGGGCTCTCATGGTCTGCTGGTGAATGAGATGGGTCTTTACCTATGATTGACTACTGGGTATGGGTGAAGATAATTTCTTAGCTGTCGTTTCAGATCAGTCAGCATCCTTTGAACAAGTTGCTTTTTGATTCAGCTGTATGGAGATCTGGTTTTTTCAGTTCTTGCTGCTTAGAGACAGAGCATTCACATTAACAGCTTTTACCTTACTGTGGGCACTGATACTCATTTTCTACGTGCTATTCTCTGTCTGGTTTGCCTCTGGTGAAGGTGCTGTGGATCTCATTGACTTCACAGAAATTTCTGAAAGCTTCTTTTCACATGCATCTCTGGCTCCATGGGCATGTGGAAAACAGTTTAGGCTGCACTTAACTATGCGATAAATTGTGCAATAGTGTGAACTTTAGGTTCATTGACCTTCAACATGAATATAAATAAATTTCGAAGCTTTACACGTGTTCCAACACTTGCTATTTAGTAAATAGCAGCTTTGCAGTTAAATGGTTTCTCTACTCCATACAAAAAAGACATTCTGCCTATACCCAAAAAATAGAAATTATTTCTTTGTTTTAATATGTGTCCTGGGTCCTTCCCAGTTTAAGGCAGCACCAGCATTGCATTAGCAATGAAGAGGAAAGTTCCATTTCCCTAAGATAGATATGCCTGTTACTTGATATTGGGCAAAGTATATTTATCATTTCTTATGCTGTGAAAGCTCATTTAAAATTCTTTGCTGAGGTTTCTTTCCACTAAGAAGTCTGAACACTTGGAATCATTAGAGATGAATAGTTTATAGATAGTATAGATAGTCTCCCTTAGTTTTAAGGGAGAGAAGAATATTCTTTACACAGAAGAACTAAAGAATTTGGCCAAAATAGCTGCTATACAAAACAGATCTTATGTCATACCTGGGTAAAAAAATACTTGTCAAGGTATTTATTCACGCTAAGTTCACACTCTCTGGTATTCTCATATATTATTTCAGAGCTGTGAAGTCATATAATATAGGTCTAAAATACTAAAGATAAGAAAACAAATCCACTTTGAGTATAGTGTTTGATTTGTAGTGTTTCTGCGCCCATTATCTAGAAAAAGTACTTTAACATAGGTTTTCAGCAGTTCACTGGAATTAGAGGGAAGTTATATTGTTGAATCACAGTGTCATTGTAGGCTCTTAGTCTATCTATAAACTTTTTACTCGTCTGGATTAATGTAGGATTTTGTACATTAATCTCTTGCTTCAGAGAGAGAAAGCCTTCCATACACTGAAGGTGTTTATAATGTCTATGCTTCTTCCATTCCTGCGGTAGCTGGTTTTAGAAGTGGAATAAGACCACATTAACCAAAGGATGTGAAGTTACTAGTCCCTGGCCATTTTTCCTGCCAAATCTGTAAAATGGCATAATTATTGCTGCTTAGGCAATGCCTAAAGAATGCTCAAGTGAGACTGACAGTATTGCACTATACTTATGATCTGTTTTTCCTTTTGCAGATGGTCAGCCCTGTCCTGTTATTCTCTGGGATTCCTCACTGAGTCCAACAGATAACAGTACCCATTCCTCAGTGAAATTAACCTGGGGACAATATCAGCAGCTACTGAAGCAGAAATGCTGGCAAAATGGTAAAGTCCCCAAAGCTGAGTGGGGCTGTACCGAAATCCATCATCATGAGTGGTCCAAGATGGCACTCTTTGATTTTCTTCTGCAGGTAAAACATTTACCACATGCAACTGTCTACCTCAAAGGTCATGTGAGCACACATAGGACTCCTAGAAAAGTAATTTTAGTTTATTTCCTTTTTTAAATGGGGAAGAGATGTATTTGCACAGTTTGAACTCATTTCTGGTTGTTTCTTATGATAATATCTACAAAGCAATTTATAATCAGGGAAAGAGATCAGGAACTTAACCGACTCATTTTCTAAAAGAGGAAGCAAAGGCTTTTGTCTTACTTTACTTCAGCTTGAGGCAGGCATACTGTCTCTCCAAACATAGTACTCAACTATGTTTACAACTGTAAATATGGTTTGGTTTTGTTTTTTTGTTGTTGTTTGTTTGGGGGTTTTTTGTTTGTTTGTTTTTAATGTGTTGCCCTTCCTGGACTTTATCTGGATCAAAATGACAATTCTAGTAGCTAATTTTCCTTCTTTTTAAAACCCTAGCCAGTCACTTAGTAAGGAAAGAGTAGAGCAGCGACTGATGAGTGATATGGCTACTGCTCTTCAATTATTTATAGCACATAATCATTAGTTCTCCAAATAATGCCAAACTAGGGCCTTACCCAGTGGTATCCTGTGTGGTTACCGTTACAGCAGTTATGTAGTAGAATATTAATATATTCTCTGTATTAATAAGGACAGAACCAAACCACCTGGTTGGAAGCTAATTTTATAGCTTCCTGAGATATGGCACTACTTCCAACTGTCCTTACCTGCCAGACAGGCCCAGGTGGCTGAGCCTCCTGCAGCACTTACTGGTTTATTTGAAACTGCAACAAGCACTAGTTTTATGCACTGTGTTTGGTTGTTCATATAATTCAGCTTTTTATGGAGCCACATTTCTTGAAATATAAAAATCATGACTTGGCTCATGCATTGCTTATCTGTGTTCTTCTCAGTCCTGTTCTAAATTCTGAATTGATGTTTCCAATTTTTTGGGGGGGTTACATTTTTGGAGTCTTGTTATGTTAAACAAAACATTCAATTCTTCTCTAAAAATAGATTGTCGCTTGTCTAATGACTCCATCTTTAGTCCCACTATGAGCAAGTAATTCTTAGAAACTAGTATAAAGTCCTATGTGGATTATTTTAATGCTAAACATAGTAATGCCCCTACAGTAATAGTACATGTGTCACAGTTAATGTTTTCATGCCATTGTCTTCTTGTTGAACAGTTAAAAAAAATCTCCTGAGTTCTGTGTTGACTTCTAATTTTAAGGTCTTTTAATACAAGTTTTTAGTTTTCATAATAGAACTCCTATTAGCCAGAAGGAGCAGTCAGTTAAAATAAGATGCAACAGGACTGAGCTTTACATGACTCTTACAATAGTAGCTGGTATCAGAGTAATTTATGTATCCAGTTACACCAGGCAAGAACATGCATACCAGGAAGTGAGTGAAAGTGGGTCTTATGGTTCTTAAAGATTAAAATGTTATCTGGGTGCTCACAGACTTAACTTTATCAGCAGCAGAATATGACTTTAAAACAAAAAGCAGCTAAGAAGGGGTTCTGAGTTTAAAAAAATCTGTGCTTCATGAGTCACTCAGCAATAAAGAATAAGGGTGAAAAGTATTCTCTATTAAATATACTTCCTTCAGAAGAATGGGTTTAGTGCCCATAATAGATGTTCCTAATATCCAGTTTCGAATGCTATAAAACATAGAAGCAGGCTGAAAAATGCTTATGGCTGACCTTCACTTGCCTTCTGCAAGAACTTAAGTAGAATAAGGACATTAAATGTAAAACGGCTTCTTTAATTCTAGGGGTTTGGACCTCTCATGTACATAAATATATGACAAAAACCAATGCTAAACTATTAGGGTTGCAGCATCAATTCCAGAGCGTCCCATCATTCTGTCTTAGTACTGGAATGATGCAAGATATTATGAAGAGGCTGTCTGTAAGAACAGGATCTCCTCGTCTGTTTAATGCATGTAATGAAGTTTGGTGCAGATGAATTAGGGCTATACATCAAAGGATTCTGTCTAGAAGGACTCTGCTTCACTTCTTGGCAAAACTTTTAGATTGGAGGTGAATGAGAGACCCCATGAGCTAGAACACTGCAAACAAGAGGGACTCTAGTGCCTGCAGAAGAGACCAAATGCTGCTCATGAAAGGAGAAAGAAGAGAAATCTAATCCTTTCCTCAGGATTTTCACATTTGAAAACAAACACTGCCACCAAAACTGGTGGCAACAGTAATACATAGTTGAGAAAAAGCAAAACAATTCTCAGACTTTCATTTGATGAACAAAATTAGGAGGCCTTTTCAACATGCAATATAGTCTACATCAGAAGAGGTCTAACAGTTCATTTCACTGGGGCATCACAAAAATAAGATTGTAATTTAAGAAGGCTTATACGAATATTGATGCTTTCTGGCTTAGAGCAGTTTGAAGAGTTAGCAGTACACAACAAAAAAGGACAGAAAAAAAATATTTACCTTTGATAAGCCATTCATTAAGCCTTAGATGCACCAGACCAGACTTCTACTCTGTAGCAACTGCCAGCAGGAGGAGGGCTGCTCCCCAAAGAGATGAGCTGCAACCAAGGGCAATCCCATGGCAGGCAGGGCCAGCAGCAGCCCAGCAGGAAGGATGGTGAGAGCCACACATCCCATTGATAGCCCAGTCAGCATCAAGTACAGACAAGGCAGCAAGCCAGCTCCACGGGCAATGAGCAGGAATCCCAAGCAGCAATCCAGGAGCAATAGGCAGTAGGACAAGCATAAGACACCATCTCCCCAAGAAAGGCTCAGGAGAGTACTGAGATGCCTCACTTGGGCTTAGATAGGGCTCCTGGGCCCACGAGCAGAAGAAGTGTGTGTGGAGGTCCCAGGTGAAGGTGCTTAGGCCAATGAAGGCCTCTGTGCACTAAGGGCCCTGGCAATGTTGTGTATTTACTCTTATCATGTCCACAGGTGTGGAAGCATTTTCAAAGTGTGATTTATCCATCCCATATTAGATGGTTATCCTAAAATGGCATCCTTTGCTCTGGAGGTGCCTCGTTCTTGTCATTGTTTATGAAAGGGAACATAAACGACTAAGTCAGAAGAGATGCTTAACATTTACACCACTAAAGTTAGACCAGATGTGTTCCTTCCAGCTAAGTGCTCTGCAATGAATAAGCGAGGGTTTGCATGGGAAAAAATAGCCTAGACCATCATGTCATTAAAGTACATACCATGGTGCAACTCAGGGAGGCTGCTCTGTGATTATAAATGCACTCTTCATTCTTGCATTTTGTAGCTTCTGTTGGTTTGCTGTTCCCCTTAATAATCTTTTCAATTATTTAGCACACTATTAGTTTAATAGGTCCCACAAAATGGAGACCCTCTGTGTGTGTCAAGCTGTGCTATTTCTATTGTTCTCCAGCAGAGAAAATATAAAAAACTGCAGTCGTTTGGAAAAAATGCAGTTGTATTCACCATCTTAATATGTCAGTTACACAGTGGTATTGTTCCATTATTTTCAAAGAATTTCTACTGACATAACAAATCTTAGCTATAAAATGGATCAAATACACAGTCTGGGAAGTTGCTTATAGCAGTACATGAAGTATGGAGACCAGGTCTTCAATGCCATTTCACTGCTGCCTTTAATTATGCTTGTCCTGAGCTTGCTTTCCTGACAGCTGTGTTAGTGAGCGATGTCGTAAAGTGACACTTTGCCCCAAATATTTTGATGTTGTTTTCACTTGGCACTCTGCTGTACTTTGTTTTAGATCTATAATCGACTGGACAGAAACTGCTGTGGATTCCAACCTCTCAAGGAAGATTCCTGTGTGCAGCAAGGGTTGAAGCTGAAATGCAGTGATCAGGATGCCGTTGACCTGACACACATAGTTCAGAGAAGGCACGACCGAAGGCACTTGGCCTTTATAGACAATAAGGGCTTCTTTGACAGAAACGAGGACAATCTTGACTTCAAAATACTACAAGGAATCAATGAGTAAGTTTGAAGTTATTAATTTTGTAAAAAGATTGATAATTTCTTCTCAGTTTGAGCATGAGACACTAAGTTACTGGAATAGGTATCATCGGCCCAAGACATTTGCAGGATGTGTCTAAAAATGTATGAGTAAGCCCACTGCTGTAAAAGCTACAATTAACATGCATATGGTTAGCCATGCATGGACTTCCTTTGCTGAGTTGCAGTCTATATTCATAGAATTGATTGCTAACCCACAACATCAATATAGCAATTCAGAATGATGGTGAGGCTGATGAATTTCTTTGTGCTTTTCCAGATTCCCTGAATCTGCAGTTTCAGTGCTGAGGAGCCAGCGTTTACGTGAGAAGTTGCTTCAGTCTTTGTTCCTTGACAAAATATACTGGGAGAGCCAAGGAGGCAGAAAAGGAATTGAAAAGCTTATTGATGTAATAGAAAGGAGGTCCAAAATTCTTCTAACTTACATAAATGCACATGGAGCCAAAGTATTGCCCATGAATGAATGAAGCAGTCTTGTTTCTATCTAAGAGATAGTCTTTAAAAAATTTGCATGAGGAAAAACCTGAGAGTAAAATTGATTTAATTCATAGGCTTATTTAATTGTGTTTTTTTGCAAACTTTCAGGTTTATTTTTAAGTAAGAAATTTTACATGGTTTAAAAGCATCATTCAAATATCAACACAGTGCAGTCTTTTCTATGTCACCAATGAAACAAAAATCAAAATAACCAAATGGTACAATAAATAATGTAGTAATATGTAGGTACCATGAACACTCCTTCTGTTAAACTCAAAATTAGCAAGAGGATTTTCAGTACATTAGGCTGGATTACTCCCTTTCTTCCCTCATTCAAGCCAGTAAAAGTTTACTGCAAATTTGAATGGGAACAGAGAGTCATCGCATCTACCTGTTGAAACTTATCTAGTACAGGAATTTGTCTTTTTGACTACGAATACTGAAATGCGAACGTTTCCAAAGGCTTATTTTGTTTTGATCTATTGAAATCTGAGTTCTAAATTCAGTTCCTTTAATTGCAGGGGTATTTGTACTGGACATGAAGGGAATTTAAAAACAGACTGAGAAGAACATGTCTTTATCAATATTAATTAACTTGACAAATACAGTTTTTACCTGTCCAGTATGGAGTACAATTCATCATGCGTCACTTGTTACAATGTACTATTTTCAGTACAGGTTCTTTTGATGTGTGGGTGGATGATCTTTAGGGTCCCTTCCAACTCTAGCCATTCTATGATTCTATGTTCTAATATTTTCTGTCTATTAATTAACTGAGTGTTACTCACAGAATTGTCCTTTGTTACCACTATTTTTAAAAAAGAAATTCAGATTTAGCTTGGTGTGAATATGCTGCTAAATAAGTGTACATGTTTTATCTTTGCAACATTGTAGCCACATTTTTTTTTAGAATATTATCAAAAACCAGACCTACTAAGGATGTGAGTGTTGTTAAACTCAGCACAGGAAATATTTGTGCTGTGTGCTCAGCTCTAGCCAGCAATTCAGGCTTCGGTTTTCCATTAAGACTGAATGACTGTGAGGGGATGATTCCAGCTCACGCCTTACCCCAAGTATTCCCGTAGGAAAGGTTGTTAGAGAAGGCTGGATAAGCACTTTAGATTCTTAGCCTTCATCTGTTCCAGCACTAAAATATCAACTGATATAGTCTATCATGACACATACCTTCTACCAATCTGTTTAGGAAGTCTGTTACAATCTTTCTAGAGAAAGGGCTATCATCTTCTCGCCATGAGATAATGGTAGAAGTTGAGTATTTTCATAGCTACCCCTCTTTGTGTATAGTAAAAAATACAGGGTGTTTTAAATATTTTTGAACGTGCTTGTGAAATGGTATCATTTGTTATTATGAAAAACTAAAATGTTTTATGTCAATGTGAATGTGGGTTGGTGAATTTAATGTTTTAAATAATCATAATTCCACTGCGTCTAAACCAGATTTTCTTTCTTAGTATCAGAACAGCTATTAACAATAATTGCATTACTAGAAGAAATAGACTTAATTACAGGCAAGTTAAAGATACTTAGTAAAATTTAAGAGCTTGGCCATCTAAAGAATCTTTTCTTTTATTCTGTCAGCAAAGGGCAGATAAATTTGTAAAAACTTCCTAGAACTCAAGTTCTAGGAGGAGTTCTAAGAGGACATATTTTTGAGTGCCTTGGACCTTTTAATAGCACTAAAGTAGAGTTTTATAGGATTTTCATATTATCCCTTTATTAAAATATTTTAACTTATTAGCCAGTTAATTTCTATCACAGAAACAAAAATATTACTGTAGCTTGCACTGTGAACAGAGCCTAGAGAAAGAAATAATCCTCTGGATCCATTTCACATGGGATTCCAGTTGCAGTAAATTCCACTTTGGTGACTGCTACGATCAGTTTGGCTCATTTTCTAGTCTATCTCACAGCCTTATACTTGCTAGATACCTGTTCAAATGGATTGTCACTCCCTGCTGGGAGTGAGAGAAAGGCACGACACTCAGCTGCACCGAATTTAGAAGAGGGACAAGTGGAGATACAAGAGTGTACCTGATCGTGGAAAAAAAGTCCCATGAGTGTCTTCTGGGTTCTCCTTTTCTATCTTTAGACTGCACATCCTGATGCCAAGTCATTTCCTCACATTGCCCAGTTGTTTTTCCCAGAACTGACTCGTTGCCCAAGGAGAGAAAGAATCAGAAGTCAGGAAATTTTTTTTATCTTTACACATTAGGTAATTTATTTTTATGGTGATAACGATGCATTCTTCTCCATTTCTTCTGAACATGGACTAGTGCTTCCTTGAGCATGATACATGCTTTTTTATTTGCTTAGCAGTTCAGTGCCAGCTCTTGAAGCAGCAACATAATTGCCAACTAGTAAGTAATTGCCCTGAAGCTGACCTGGAGCCATTTCTCCCAGTTGTCCTTAGCTTAAGAGGTCCAAGTAGCCATGATGCTGTGCAGTACTTAAAGATTTGACCAAGCATGAAAAGTGTAACTGTAAAGAGGAGATCTTCTGGAGACCTATCCTGCAAATGAATGTCCTTAGGAAATGGAGGGTGTTTTTTACTAGATATTTTTGGTGGCAGAAGATCAAGTTGTGATTAGAGCTAATCTGCAGGGTGAAACGATATGTAGACTTATGTAGAAAGGACAAGGGGATGGATAGGTGTACCTCCCTGTGCTCTGCCGTATGGACCAGACAGGAACATAGGATATTAGGAAAAATTTTTTCACTGAAAGGGTTATCAGGCATTGGAATGGGCTGCCCAGGGAGGTGGTTGAGGCACCATCCCTGGAGGTGTTCAAAAGACGGGTTGATGTAGTGCTGGGAGGTATGGTTTAGTGATGATGCTCCTTGTTTGTTGTGTGGGTGTCTATTTTTGTCAGTTAGGTTGACGGTTGGACAAGATGATCTTTAAGGTCCCTTCCAACCTAGAAGATTCTGTGATTCTGTGATAGAGGCACTGTCTTCTCAGAACGGCTGCAGGGACCAGTGAGTCCAGAGCCAATGGCCAAGGCAGACTGAGCTGTGCCATTGCTCCACACATTACATTTGCTGCGGGCAAGTGGATACTTCTTTCCCTGAAATACTGAATTTGGGTCTGGGGCAGGCATTCTGCATCCTGCTCTCACACCAGTGCCTTGGCATTGCACTGTGCACAGCTGGCAGCCTTGCTTTCTGTGCTTGGGTTCATGGGCCGTATTTCTTACACTTACAAACACTCTCATAACCTTCAGGGAAGCCAGGAGAGGCTTTGTGAGACTGGGCAGTGGGACTGGACTGTAAATTACTTGTAATTCTCTAACGTTGAAACAAACTCCGGAAAGTGCCTTTTCTCTGTAACGTTTATCCTGTTGCTGCAGGCTTGGTACTTCAATCTAGTATTGTTAATAATACAAAGTAGGAGTGTGATAGTGCTTCTGAGTACATACTAGCCAAGTTCTAGGGTTTTTTTTACAAAAAATAAGAATTCTATACTTTTTGAGTGCATTTGCATAAATGCTCCAGTAAAAAATACAAAAGAAGCACTTGGCAGAGCTTGTTTATTGGCTGCTGCTACTACATTCAAGATATCCACTCTCCCTTCAGTAACCGGAGTAAAGTTTATTGGGAAATCAGTCCACTTCCTTTTAAACCAGTGTGACATTGGGACTGACGTTCCTGCACTGTAATCTAAGTGTTAGTAACCGGTAGGAAAAAAACCAAAGAAGCCTTAATCTACCTTTGGTGGTGATCAACAGAAAGCCAAGAAACCATGTTTTAGTCATCTTTGCTGGGCTGTCTTCCATTTATGGGCATATGGGATCAGACAGAGATTCAAGCTGCACATTGCTCGGAAGGGTGTAACCAACAGCAACAGTCCAAAACCTGTGGGTGGGAAAAGACGATTATGTCATTCTTGAATCTGCCTGAAAGCCAGAACCACATGAAATGGAATTACTAAGGAAGTCAAGAGAGTTTGCTGATTTCATAACATTGGAAGACAGAGCTTAAAATAAGTAGCACAGACACAGAGGCCTTAAAACTCCTCAGAAGCCTGCCAGCAAGTTAATAATCTTAAATGTTTCAGAAGCTGGGACATGAAAGCTTTTGTGGAGCGCTGTGAGAGCAGTTTCTTTCTTCTTTTTTTTGTGTGTGTGTATTCTATAATGCACTATATTGAAAACAGATAAATTCCATGGTCTCAAAAGAGGAAATACAAATTCAGGGTACATTAAGGGACAAGCTTCCAGTCGCAATTCTGGGAACACTTTTATGCATGTGTGTGTATGCAAACACCAACATACGTATATATGTATATACCTTGGCTTGTTTCTATAAAATGGTCCATTTGGCTAATAAAGAGTTGTTTATACAATTTGCTGTTTACATGTAGAATTCTATTTGTAAGTGTAAGTCCAGTTTTGGGTATACACAAGTTGAAGTTTAAACAAAACGTTATTATGGATGAAACTTTTGTTCCCAAAGGATTAACTCTCCCCTTGCCAACACATTTATATAATCTTAAAAGTTTTCTACTTACAATTGTAGAGAAAAACAGCAATGTGTTTGTTTCTAACAAGCTAAACTGCGAGTTACATCAACTCAAATGTTTTTATTGAGTTTTATATTAGATATTTAATTTCCATTTTCTCTTGGAATTTGTGCATTTTAAAAATCAATGTATTTGTCCTTTTATTAGTAACAGTAAAAGTATTATTACATGTAATGGATTGTTTGACTCTGCTGCTATTGTCATATAATGTCCAGAATTATATAAAATAAAGTAACATCTTCTGTCAGATTTTAAGTTCAGATCTCTAAGTTGCAATAACAAAACTGTAAGACATATTAATGTAATATGTGGATCATTAGATACTCTTTAGAAAGAACTATGGCCTGAAACTGCATCTTCAGAGAACAATTCAAACCAGATTATGAAGCTCTTCCTATGGAAACATTTTCTAGCTGTTTACTCATGAGACTTGTAACTCTTTCTTACTAACCTGATTCACTGTAGCTGTGGAGCTTCTGGTTACTGCAGCATTAGTATTTACTGCATTCTTTACCCATTCTGGCAGTGCCTGCTTAAACAAACATTGAGCAGAAAAGGCCATGCCCATTTATGATGCCAGAACAGAAGTACTGGTCCATGACTGGTAAAGTTTATAATAGACCTCAAGCAAGTACAAGAATAGGAGAACGAGACTGAACTCTGTGTGGAATAGAGACTCACACAGAGTTAAAGTAGCCTAGGAACTTTTAGTCTCTGAAGTTTACATCTTTTCCATGATCCAAGAGAGACTAATGGGAAACACAGAGATGTTGAAACTTTTTAAAATATTCTCTTTCCCACACAAAGTAATTTGATTTATTAAAAACATTATTTATTTTTGGTCATTACTGTGTACTTCAGTCTAAATTCTCTCAGACATTTGTGTAAATTCACTACATTTTCACTGAATCATGCTGTTTCCAGATAAGACAGTGTAAGTCAGATTGGTTAATCCGTATTCTCAGAGACTGGAGAAGTGAAACCTAAGGTCAAAAGGAGACCTTAGGAGGGTGACAAATAAATAAAAAGGAGAGAGTTGCCTGAGATATAGCATGACTATAGAACTTGGCATGCAAGTTCTCCAAACAACTATCTGTGGGATCCAAGGAGAATCTACAAGTTTTCTTTGAAGACTGCCAGCCTGTTCCACCTGATTTTCTGTGGCAAGCCCTCAGCTAGCCAGATAAAAGTGCTTGAAATAAAAAAAACCCAAACCAACAAGAAAAAATGCATCAGTATTTTCACTTACATAAAATATATTAAGTCTATTTCAAAATGACATTATTAAAAAATATTTTTCCGCCATATATGAATTACAGATTGAAATGTGATTAAAAGATGGCAAAGAAAAGGTAGAGCTTTTCAGAATGGAATACAGTCAAGCAACTGGGTCTTCCAACAATGATTTTATCATCTTCATCACTGGCATAGAGAAGGCAGTGAAGAGTGAAATTTCCAAGGTTGCAAATGATAGTAAGATTTTTTGGACAGTCATATGGCAGACTAATTGTGAAGGACTCTAGAAGAACTTCATGAAACTGAGTGGGTCAAACCTGTCAGATGAGCTCCAGTATGGATTAATGTAAAGGCTTTACTTTGTTGCTACTTAAAACCTTACAGAATTTTAAATCTTGGACTGTGTGAAGCCTTGTCTCCACATCTCAAGAAGTATGAGCTGGAGTCAGTAGAGAGAAGAGCAACTGAAGTGATCAAGGTGCTGGAACATTTATCTTGTAAGGAGAGGTTTCTTCAGTTTGAAGATGAGAAAGCTGGAGGGGATGATAATTCAGGTTTACAAAATTATGAAGACGATGGATGAGGTGAATGCAAAAAGTGTTATTCAGCAAATCCTGCAATACCAGAGGTGTGGAGCACCTAGTGAAACTAGTATCTCTTTTCAGCAGATAAAAGAAA